TTGTTTTTTATATGTGCAATGATGTAAATGACGAATTGGTCGAAGTTAGAATTCACACACTGGCTATTGAGTCAGGTGGGTTCCAGTAGCTGAATGGTATACGAGCTAGCTTGCCTTGTAACCTGAAGGTCCTGGGTTCGAACCCGTGTAGTGGGTGCGTACTGCCGATGATTCTCAAACTAGGCCAAAGAAACACCTGTCCAGTACTCTAGTACTGGTTTTTCAATGGTTCTCTAACTGATATCAATCCGTGATCAACTCGTAAAAGCAAATACTGTTCATCAGTCCGCTCCGTCTTCCTATATGGCTGTGAGACCTGGCCACTGAGAGTGGAAGACATGAAAAGCCTGGTTGGCTGTCTTTGATGCTGTCTTAGGTGCCTGCGTTCTATCTCCCGTGTTAGGTGGTATAACTGGGTGAGCAATATTGACGTTAGGCGTCGAGTGCTAGGTAAGGAGGGGACATGAATCGATGAGGCTGTGAAATTACATCGACTGAGAGAGTTGGTTAGGACATGTGTTACCTATGCCTAGTCATCGCCTTCCTCGACGGGGAATGTTAGCTGACATAGGATTGGTCAGGCTGGAAAAGAGCTAGTAGCGGCGTTCAAATCAAAACATGGCACCAGTCAATGAAATCCACAACAGTTGGTCTAAGCCACGTAGGAAAGTGTAGACTTCCAGGCTGGAGTCCTCGGGACGGTAAAAATCTATGGTTGGAAACTATTGGTGACATGGCTCAAAATCGTTCTCAGTGGCGCAGATGCATCCACTCCTTGTGACTTATGATCTTCAATGAAACTGTTTTGTTCTTCGTTATTACTCCTCCTTTGTCTCACACCTCTGCTTACCGTCTCTATTATGCTTTTCTTGTAGTTTCTTCTCTTGCTTCGTGTGCTACACGGAATGTGGCGACTTGAACTTCCGCACATATGTGCAAAGTTCTATGTCGAAAACAGACAGACCTTATGTTAACCTGAAGTTTTGTCTTCACTGCTTCTTCTGCAAACTCGTTGGTTTTCCCTTGTAGACCTTCAAGTTTGTGTCCAGATCTTCTACAGTCCAACGTATTCTTGTCTTCTGGCTTCCTCCCACGGTCTGTTACATGACCTAGTCCGCCACAATCAGGAATATCATCAGTGATAGTAGGTAGCCTGACTACACTTCACACTTTTCTCTGAGATTTCTGCTATGAATCACTTGGCATGCATTAATAGCATTATGTAGCTGTTAATTAAGATTGATGATGGTGTTGGTTAATCCGTAACGTTGGTAGTTTTACAAGTCAGTGTTTCATCTGATGGATAGGTACTTTTCCTTCCTCCAAATCTTCTGTTATAGTCGAGTCAGGATATCCGCTCAGGTCCGTTTTCATTGTTTCCAATGGAATGCCGGGTCGTCCTGCTGGCCTTAGGTGGCTTTAAAGCATTCAAGATTTTCGCTCTTGTGTGTGGATTGGTGTTCATTAGCAATTCTGTCTCTTCTGTTGGTGGTGTTTGTGGACGAGTTACAAGTGGTTGCCGCTTCAGCTCAGAGTTTCATTTGTTTCTCTTCTTTGGTGATTAGTCACCTCGTTATCTGATATAGTGTTCTGAGGTCTCTCCCAACTGAGTCCTGTTCTGTATCATTTGTTAGTGTGTCGTACAATTGACTCCATCTTGAAATACTCTCCTTTACTCCTTTGTTCAGTGCGTTGTAGATTATATTCCACCTCTCCTTTCTTTGGCCATCTTTTCATTAGTCCATCCTCTATTTCACGATCTCTATCTCCTATATTAGCTTGGATGTTTTCATAGAGAGCCGTTCCTTGTCTTTCCTCTTCTTCCTTCCTAAGACATCACTTTCAGAGAGTTCAAGTGTTCTTCTACACAGGTTTCTTTTGTAGCGCTACACAATGTCTCCGACTTTGCTGTGATGGCTGCTTTGAAGGCATTCAACTTGATTTTCAAGGTTCTCTGCACTAGATAATGATCTGAGCCCACATTTACTCCTCTTCTTAATTTCTTGTTTAGCAGACTGCAACTCCACTTTCATGATCAACATTAAGATGAAGTGTATCTGATTTTAGGTGTATCCGTCAGGCGAAATCCATGTCTCTGACCTTGTGTATATCCTTGTGCTTGTACATGCTGCCTCCAGTTACCAAACCATTGACGTCTGCAAGGAGTCCTCCGTCCGCATTCATCTCATCAAGAGCCTCCCGACGCATGTGTGACTTCAATATTCTGGGAGCGACTGGTTGAGTCCGTTCACGCTATCTGCTGGGAAGTGGAGTTTCGCTCGCACAGTATACCTTACCTTCAGCTGGGGACTCCTGCAGAGTAATTCGTGATGTGCATCTTTCTGGGTCGAAATTTTCTAACTATTTCCCAAACTTGGAAGATAGTGGCAGCGGTTTCCCAGCTGCCTGTGACAATCGCTGCTGTCATACGTTTGTCGGCCAACACGAAAACTTCGCCCTCAAACTGCGACCATACAGTGAGCGATAATCGCGCTTATCCTTATCGCTACCCGACCTGCCTTTTGCCATTGTACTCTTGGAAAGTTTGGTCGTTTTGATATGCTAGCCGGCTGACTATGTCAAGATAGCAGTAGTGTGTACACACGAATAGTTATAATTCCTTGTGTTCCAGCAATCTAATTATCTGTGTCGGTAGACTGCCATAATCAGATTATATACTTTTAGATTATCCAATAGTTATTTCAAATTTAGCCAAGACGAAGAATCTACAATATGAATGTCTTGTCCTTTTAATTTTGGCTGAAAGCAGGTCACATGATCCACAGTCATATTTGTCCGTTTTCTCAGGTTGTGTAGATGAAATGTTCTTTAGATGTTTAATTGCTCAGTCTTTTGCATTTCTTCATCGTCGCTAATATGGAATCCGAGTCATATCTTCTGAGAAGCTATAATGTCTAGATATTTTAGTCAGTCATATCTTGGTCGTTTCTATTTAAGTTAGTTACAACCAACAACGTAACAGCTTAATACCTTTTCTGTTCACGCTCAGTGGATGTTTAGAATTATCTAACTTCGAATCTTTACTACCGAAAAGATCTCGGGTACTAGTTTTTTTTCATCTCCTGTAGTCTAAAATCTATCCAATTTTGAATCGCTAATTGAAACATGGACATCCAGGAGGATGGTCATCGTTTCGCAGTAACTTCAATTCTCTAAGTAAACTTAAAGTTGCCTCAAGGAGGGCTGTGGACTACTGTCAACTTCTTGGCATGTTTTCTGTAGCTCATGCCTAGTAACACGAAGCAGTGATATATAAATTGTGTTTGTAGTAAACTTTGGATTTGGTTACACTTTTTGACTCATAATTTCCAATAAAACTATATTGTTCTTCGATATTACTATTCTTTTTGCCTCACATATCTGTTTACTGTCCCTAGTTTGCATTTCTTTTTACTTTCTTCTTCTCTGGCTTTGTGTACTGAGTGAATTGTGGCGACTCGAATCGCTGCATATCTGTGCAAAGTTGTACGTTGAAACCAGACAGACAGAGAGACACTTTGTTAAAGATACACAGTTTATTTGAAAAGTCTAACTTGAACACTGACTGTTTCTGTCTTTTTAAAAGGTGATCATTATTTCCACTTGTGAATGGGAGATCCAATGAATTATTCCCTGTGTCTCTCTTCTGTCATCTCCCATTGACGATAATTTCCAACTGCTTATTTAGTCTGTTTTTTTATTGTCCTTCATCTCGTTCCTCGAAAGTAACAGGTGTTGACACTGATCATTCAACGTATGCAGTGATAATACAGAAAAATAAGTGTTAGGTATAGCGATTCTTCATGAAAAACTTCTTGTATTAATAAACTTTAGGAAGGATGATTTCTCAGTTATTGGTCATGTGTAGGATCCCCCGCAACTCTTTAAGTACTTGATGCAAAAGGGTTCTAGTTTTGTTTTTTATATGTGCAATGATGTAAATGACGAATTGGTCGAAGTTAGAATTCACACACTGGCTATTGAGTCAGGTGGGTTCCAGTAGCTGAATGGTATACGAGCTAGCTTGCCTTGTAACCTGAAGGTCCTGGGTTCGAACCCGTGTAGTGGGTGCGTACTGCCGATGATTCTCAAACTAGGCCAAAGAAACACCTGTCCAGTACTCTAGTACTGGTTTTTCAATGGTTCTCTAACTGATATCAATCCGTGATCAACTCGTAAAAGCAAATACTGTTCATCAGTCCGCTCCGTCTTCCTATATGGCTGTGAGACCTGGCCACTGAGAGTGGAAGACATGAAAAGCCTGGTTGGCTGTCTTTGATGCTGTCTTAGGTGCCTGCGTTCTATCTCCCGTGTTAGGTGGTATAACTGGGTGAGCAATATTGACGTTAGGCGTCGAGTGCTAGGTAAGGAGGGGACATGAATCGATGAGGCTGTGAAATTACATCGACTGAGAGAGTTGGTTAGGACATGTGTTACCTATGCCTAGTCATCGCCTTCCTCGACGGGGAATGTTAGCTGACATAGGATTGGTCAGGCTGGAAAAGAGCTAGTAGCGGCGTTCAAATCAAAACATGGCACCAGTCAATGAAATCCACAACAGTTGGTCTAAGCCACGTAGGAAAGTGTAGACTTCCAGGCTGGAGTCCTCGGGACGGTAAAAATCTATGGTTGGAAACTATTGGTGACATGGCTCAAAATCGTTCTCAGTGGCGCAGATGCATCCACTCCTTGTGACTTATGATCTTCAATGAAACTGTTTTGTTCTTCGTTATTACTCCTCCTTTGTCTCACACCTCTGCTTACCGTCTCTATTATGCTTTTCTTGTAGTTTCTTCTCTTGCTTCGTGTGCTACACGGAATGTGGCGACTTGAACTTCCGCACATATGTGCAAAGTTCTATGTCGAAAACAGACAGACGTAAAAACAAAACCAACCATAGTAAACGATAATGATTTGTATATAATCATAGTATGACCGAAACATTGCTTTCCAGCAGTTGATTAAACTTTGCTTTTATTCTATTTTCTCCATTGTTGTAGTGTTGTGATCACATAGTTTGTCAACAAATCCTACCTTTCAAGTTACAAAGATAATCTCAGCGTGATTATCAATCAATTATTTGATACTAAATTTGTTATGTACACACTATTACGTGGTTTGTGGCGTTATCTATCACAAAAGGATGAATTTTCTGTCCTAATATTGGGATTAGATGGTGCCGGGAAAACAGTAATTCTCTGAATGTTTTTGTTTTTATAAATAAAAATAAATAAAAAAATGAATTCAGACGTATCTAGAGCAAGCTAAGATAAATTTTGTTCCAAATTACAAATCAATTCCAATGCAAAAGATTACCACTACTGTCGGTTTAAACAGTAAGTTTTATTTTATTATTTTTCTTCTCATACACTTTTATATATTCTTCACAGTTGGATTTATCGAGATTGATGGGATACGACTTAAGTTTTGGGATCTTGGTGGGCAAGAGGAACTTCAGTCCTTATGGGACAAGGTTAGCATAAATTCTCACTTTTCACAATACTTAATCAGTATTATGCTGAGTCAAACGGTATTATATTTGTCGTTGACTCTGCAGATTCTGAACGTTTTGAGGAATCAAGAGATGCTTTTGGTAAGTGTGTTTTCACTATTATTATTATTATTATTCCACTTAGATAAAATGGTTAGGAATCCTGTACTGGATGGTGTACCTTTACTTGTTTTGGCCAATAAACAAGATCTGAAGGTATGTCAGTTGTTAATGATTTTTTGTTGTCATTGCTGTTGTTCTGAAAAACAAAAATAAAGCTATAGGAACCAAAATGAAAGCCGACGTAAACATTGTTTTATATAAGAAGATATTTTTCGTTTTTTTTTGTTTTTATTTTCATCATAATCCACTTAGGAGATGAAATACAGTTCAAACTTTCAGTGCTGTCCTATATAATAGCTCATTACATAGCCCCCCCCCAACCTACAGGTGTAAAGAAATTCTATGACTAGTTCTTCTGTCTGTCTGTTTTCGACATAGAACTTTGCACATATGTGCGGAAGTTCAAGTCGCCACATTCCATGTAGCACACGAAGCAAGAGAAGAAACTACAAGAAAAGCATAATAGAGACGGTAAGCAGAGGTGTGAGACAAAGGAGGAGTAATAACGAAGAACAAAACAGTTTCATTGGAGATCATAAGTCACAAGGAGTGGATGCATCTGCGCCACTGAGAACGATTTTGAGCCATGTCACCAATTGTGTTCAACCATAGATTATTACCGTCCCGAGGACTCCAGCCTGGAAGTCTACACTTTCCTACGTGGCTTAGACCAACTGTTGTGGATTTCATTGACTGGTGCCATGTTTTGATTTGAACGCCGCTACTAGCTCTTTTCCAGCCTGACCAATCCTATGTCAGCTAACATTCCCCGTCGAGGAAGGCGATGACTAGGCATAGGTAACACATGTCCTAACCAACTCTCTCAGTCGATGTAATTTCACAGCCTCATCGATTCATGTCCCCTCCTTACCTAGCACTCGACGCCTAACGTCAATATTGCTCACCCAGTTATACCACCTAACACGGGAGATAGAACGCAGGCACCTAAGACAGCATCAAAGACAGCCAACCAGGCTTTTCATGTCTTCCACTCTCAGTGGCCAAGTCTCACTCATAGCCATAAAGGAGGACTGAGCGGACTTCTGAGAAGTACACCCACCCTTTGGTCGATAGCCAGCCGGATATCACGTCTACGCCGGAGACGGCGTAAACTGGCATGTGCGAAACTAACCCTCTGTATCCGTCAGAGATCAACCCATTGGCACTGGCTGATGGTACTTCCCAAATAAGTGAAGCGGTCAACGTGCTCTACAACTTCACTCCCTATTTCTAAACAAGGAGTCTGTGTAGTTCAATCCAATCCTGTAACATCATCTTACATTTGGCGGGAGCGAATCGCTTGCCAAATATTCGTAGATTGCAGCTCAAGGTGTTCAAAAGACTCTGCATTTCGCCAGCGTCTTCGCCTAGAAAGACTATATCGTTCTTCTGGACTGCTTGGTGTATTTAAACTCCGGAATAGAAAATTTTGTACTCGATTGGATTCCGGCGGACAGTCGTCTGTGCACTGTCCAGCTGAATAGGGTTACGTCAGCATACGGGGAGGATTGTGATAATCGTCAGTGTCTTATCATGATAACTGCTTTCACGCCCACTAAGTTGATCAATCAAAGCATGAGATTTAGTAGAAGCTGTCGAGCTTTTCGATTAGATAAATTTTCTTCAGCAGGTAATTTTAATATTTCTGTTGGGAAGTTAATTGATCTGTGCGATGAATGCATTAGGGTTTTTGATGCATAAAGTTCCCTACCAGCAGATACACAGCTATATGACCATCATTTACACAATTACAATCAGTTAACTATCTGTTCTAGAACGTGATGTCAAGGGCTGGCGAAAATTATTGATTATCTCAATTTAAAATAAAAAGGGAAACAAGTCTTCTTGTGATAATTGTGTACGAAGATCAGCCTGATTAACATTTTATTGAGAAGTCAAATTCACAGTTTGTAAAATTCACGAATTTTATGAAAACCAGATAAGTTTCATGCCTACTGTCTCTATTTTTGGTGTACTAATGGATGTTATTGTAATCAAATTTAACGAATTAGCGACTGACTTATTACTAGGGAACAACAGTCTTGTTAATGTAGTCTTTTTAGGTGATGACATTGACAAATTACAAAGTCTTCTGAACACCTTGGGTGGAAATCTTGATATATTTAGCATGCAATTCGACCCTGTCAAGTGTAAGATGATGCAGTCTGCACTCACTGACTGCTAGTTTGAAGAAAGGTAGTAAAGTAACTGAATATGTTAACCACTTTAGGAAGTCGCATCAACCCTAAGAGACCTAAAACCAAAAGTTAGTACAAGCCAGTGGATTTCTATCACCTCATCCGAACTAATTAACGCAAGAAGACTGATTCCGGCGAGCTCCGAATATGATGAGGAGCGAAAGTTGCTCAAACGAAAACTAACAAGAAGCTTTCGTAACAACCGTGAGCACTGGTGGGCGACAAAAGCAAAATAGGTGGAAAAGGCATCGGTGATAGACAACACCAGAAAACTATTTAAACTTATCAGGGAGACAGGTGGTAAAATGCAAATGATAAGTGAAACAATCTCCGACTTAAATGACACCATAATTAGCTCTCAGGATAGACGGTTAGAACTTTGGGAAGGACACTTTTAGGAGCAATTTAATTGGCCTACAGCCACGCTCAACTTACCCAGCATCTAACACCTCCCTGAAAGGAATATAGACACAGGTCCTCCGTCCCTAACTGAGGTTAAAAAACTTGTCACCAATCTGAAACAATGCAAAGCAGTGGAACCTGATGGAATGACTCCAGAGGTATTTAAGTATGGTGGAGACAGTTTACTGTCTGCATTAGCTGAGGTTCTAGGCAGCGTTTGGGAATCAAAAGAAGTCCCATATACATGAAGGGAGACAAGTCTTCCTGTGATAATCACAGAGGGATTAGCTTGACTAATATAGTATCTAAAGTCTTAGGCTCAATAATCATGCGTAGACTGAGTGGTGCTCGGGAAGCACAAACACGAGAGAGCCAGGCAGGCTTTAGACCAGGAAGAGGGTGTATTGATCATATATTTACCCTTTGACAGATTCTGGAACATACGCATACTAACCGTCGACGTCCAACAATCGTTATATTTCTTGACCTGAAAGTGGCATTCGATTCTGTCGGCCAAGATGTACTCTGGCGATGCTTGGTTGTAAAGTGAATGCCAAGAAAATACATCGCACTAATCAAGGCACTCCACTGGAGTTCATGCAACCAGGTAAAGGCCTACGGAGAGTTGTCATCTGAAGTAGTGACAACTGATGGTGTCCCACAGGAATGTCCACTGTCCTCATTTCTGTTCAATTGAATCATCGATGTACTAGTGGACTTAACCCTAACTGACTTCAAAGACTCAGGGATTGACTTGTTACCTGGAAATAATCTCGTTGACTTGGAATATGCAGATTATATAGTCCTCCCTCCTAGGTAAAGACGCTGACAAAGTGTAGGGTCTTCTGAACACCTTGAGCTGCAATCTTTGACTGTTTGACATGCAATTCACTCGTGCCGTCAAATATAAGGTGATGCTACAGGACTGGATTAGACTACATTGACTTCTAGTTTAGAGATAGGGACTGAAGTGGTTTGTGGCGCTTGTTGACCAGTTCACTTATTTGGGAAGTGGCGTCAGCCAACGCCAGCCGGTTGATTGCTGACGAAATTTCAACACGGATACCGAAGGTTCATTCGGTATTTGTTAGCCAAGTTACGTCATCTGTGGCGTAGATGTGATATCCGGCTGTCTAATGGCCAAAGGGCGTGTGTATTGCTGAGCAGTTTGCTCCAGCCTCCTTTATGACTGTGAGACATGGCCATGAAAAGTGGAAGATGTGAAAATCTAGGCTAACTGTCTTTGATCATAGGTGTCTGCGTTCTATCTCCCGTTTGAAGTGGTATAATAGGTTGAACAATATGGAGGTGAGGTATCGATCGAGTGCTAGGTAAGGAGGGGAAGGGAAATCAGTTGACGAGGTTATGAAGTTACATCGATTGAGATGGTTAAGATACGTGCTACGCCTGCATGCCTAGCCATCCATCGCCTTCGTCGACTTGGAGCACTGTTAGCTGGCGTAGGATGGATCAGGATGGAAAAGAGCTAGTGGTGGTCAAACGAAAACATGGCTTGATCAGTCAAAGAAATCCACAAGTTATTTTAATCCATATAAAAAAAGGTGTAGACTTCCTGGTTTGGGGTCCTCCGGATGTTAAAAACCAATGACTGGAGACAATTGGTGATATGGCTCAAAATCATTCTCAATAGCTCAGATGCATCCATTCCTTGTGACTCACTATTCTTTTTGCCTCATATCTCTGTTTATCGTCCCTCTTGAATCTTTCTCCTCTTGTTTTGTGTGCTACAAGGGGAGAGTGTTGCAACTCGAACTTCTGCACATCTGCGCAAAGTTCTATGTTGAAGCTAGCCAGTCAGTCAATAGACTGGTTGCTGTCGAAGTCTCAGCAGGTTAGGTGTAGTGTTAAGTAACTAGGGCAAATCAACCAAAGAATTCGTGAAGCTATATGTTTTGCATGCCAGACCACCGCCTTCCTCGACTAGCTGTGGTAGTTGATATATAAGTAGGCTGGAAAAGAGTTGGGAGGTGGTCAAACCAGAACCTGACATCAATCCATGAAGTCTCTAACAGTTGGTTTGCACCAGCCATGTAGAAAGGTGTAAACTATCTGGCTGAGTGCTAGGAACCAATGCCTTAAGACTACTGGTGTAATGGCTCAAAATCATTCTTAACAGCGAAGCTGGATTTACTGTTTATGAACTCTTAGATCCATCAGGTCCTCAATACTCCCCATATTCTTATTCCTTCTCCAGTACATTTCAATTAATTATGATTTTGAATTTTTTTTGACGTTGTGTGTGTACGGCAACTTGGACTGTTGCACTTCTCTGCAAAGTTTCTATGTCGAAACTCAGTCCGTGAATTGAAATTGTAATTCCTATTGTGTAAACTCTGTTGATAGGTCAATCAATCAGGCAGTCAGTCAGAGTTTCACAACTATTTTAGTCATGTAAGTTGACCTTGAACTATACAAATAGTGGCATTCAGTCTTTATTGATTACATTCTCATTTGTCTGTTTTTGTTAGCTAATGTGACAGAATCGACGAACCTCATTTTAGTATTAGTTTGTTGGAAGCAGTCAGCAGGAGGCCTTACTTGACCTGAGTTTCCTGCTAGTTGGCACTCACCTGTGTGTCAGCAAGGTGTATCTGCAACCTTGAAGGAACTTATGTCCCTTACGAGATTCGAACCCGCGTCACCTAGTGGTGCAATCAGAGAGGTTACCACTGAGTCTGAATATCTCGGAAAGGACCTCATTTTATCTGTGGTTATTTCTGTTAACTTTGTCATAAGCCCCGCCCACCCACCCCCTCAGTCAGCAGGATTTTGTTCTGGATTCACTATGAACGCAAACACTCTGTGAGGTACATTCTTGTTAACCACAATGAAATCAGAAATTTCACTAATAAAAATTTTGTTGAAACTTTCATTCATTTCTTCCCATTAATAAATTTGCATAAAGCAATAAAGACAAATGCATCAGGATAATCTGAGCTCATGTTTCTCTTTTTACCATTGTGTGGATTTTTCTCAACTGAACAACAACCAACCTGAACAATACCAAATTTATAAATTAAACTAAATTAAATTAAAGATCTGAACATACTGTTTTACACAATGATAATGAGTTATTGATTGGAAGCGAGAGTAACATTTGTCAGGAATGATGCAGTAGGTTGTCGAATAATTAAGAGGCGAAAACGATCGACTGTTTAGAGAAGAGTTGCATGACTTTAGCTTGAAAGTAGAGTTGAACATATGCTTTGTGAGTAGAGATAAAGTTTAACTAGAAGCAGTATAAAAAGAGTAACAGATTAGGTTAGGTTACATGACCACGGAAAAACACGTCTTTGTGAAGTAGACAAAAGGGCGAGCAGAAGGGTAGGGTGAGTCATGTTTAGACGAAGAAGTCAAGTTTTCTTAACAGGACAGAAGATGACGTGGTGAAATTTGTGTGCTTTGTTATCACCAAGACAGTGCGAGATTCACAACTGTCTCTTTCTGTGTACATGTATTTAGTTTTAGCCGTTTGATGATGTTTATTGCCTCAGCAAAATGAAGCAAGCTAGGCTTCGTTTGTCTGTTGATTGATTATTTCAAACGCCTTCAGACTGAACATAACATGTCCAGTGTTTAGTAGATGGCGTGCAAGCAATCACACTATTTAATGCTTGTGGGCCATTTAGTCTCACGTTCTTTGGTATGTATTCAGCGATGCGGACAACAACACTTCTGTCTCTCTTTTTAATGTTTATGTACAGGTAAATTGGCAGACGTAGTTGGAGGTAGGTAACATGAGGTGGGAGTTTGTCCACATTTGACTGTCTTAAACAATAGGTCGTTTGATGAACACATACAAACTTAGCAGCTGGATATGTTCTTTTCAGGGCAGCGTTCAGTCTGCATCTTATTCTACTGGCAGTATCGTCACCTTTGAAGCCGAGCTGTAGAAAGATGGGTTTTTTCTCTACTGTGCCGTACTTCACCTTCTCAGGACTACGCTTTCCATGTTAGTCGATGAACTTCTGTGGGTAACCATTATCACGCAGGCATTTTTCAACAGTAGCTACTTCTTCATTCACCTTTTCTTCTGAACAAAGCTTCTTTACACGATCAAACAGTGTTCTCACCAATCCCTTTTTGTAACTTATGGGATAGAAGCATTTTAAGTCCACGTAAATCACCCTCCAAGTCTCCTTTCTATAGGTGTACCTCGTGATTTTCCCATATTTATCACGTTCGATGCCAAGGTGGAAACAGTGAAACCTGTTCTCATCTTCACATCACTCCATTTTAAACTTCATACTGGTACGAGCACTACTCAGCACGTTTAATATTTGAGATGCGTCATTAAAACGATCACAAATTGTAGACGTCTCATCGACATACCTGGTACAGAAGTCTGTCTGATCGATTGTGACCTTCATTTTTGTTTGTTCCAGGTTTCCCATAAAAATGTCTGCGATAGTCGGAGCCAGCGGACTTCCAATGCGACTTCATCAATTTGGCGGTACAGAACATTGTTAGATTGAAACCATATATATGCTTGCCACATATTAGCAGCAGTTATCTGAATCCATTCTTCGGCAGAAGACTGAGACAGTTGTGAATCTCGCACTGTCTTGGTGATAACAAAGCACACAAATTTCACCACGTCATCTTCTGTCCTGTTAAGAAAACTTGACTTCTTCGTCTAAACATGACTCACCCTACCCTTCTGCTCGCCCTTTTGTCTACTTCACAAAGACGTGTTTTTCCGTGGTCATGTAACCTAACCTAATCTGTTACTCTTTTTATACTGCTTCTAGTTAAACTTTATCTCTACTCACAAAGCATATGTTCAACTCTACTTTCAAGCTAAAGTCATGCAACTCTTCTCTAAACAGTCGATCGTTTTCGCCTCTTAATTATTCGACAACCTACTGCATCATTCCTGACAAATGTTACTCTCGCTTCCAATCAATAACTCATTATCATTGTGTAAAACAGTATGTTCAGATCTTTAATTTAATTTAGTTTAATTTATAAATTTGGTATTGTTCAGGTTGGTTGTTGTTCAGTTGAGAAAAATCCACACAATGGTAAAAAGAGAAACATGAGCTCAGATTATCCTGATGCATTTGTCTTTATTGCTTTATGCAAATTTTCTCTTTAATCATTCTCAACACACTAAAAAGTTTAGTTGACTTTGGTGTATTTATCATCTCATTATCAAGTGATATAGTGAAAGTTAGATTCCTTTATTTGTTTAGAATGCATTCCATCTTTCTGAAATCAACAAAATCTTTTATGATAGTTTGCGTTTGGTCGGGCAACGTCAGTGTACATTTCATGGTGTTAGTGCACTCAACGGGTAAGTCAAACAGTCGAAATCTTGTCAGTATTATTTTTCGAAACTTTTCATAAAAAACACATTTTTACGAATAATCGACATAAAACAAAGCATCATAGTGTCAAACTAGCACCCTTTGAAGATATATTTTTCAATCTTATACCACCATGTTGAGCGGTCAAAAACTTTTTGAAAAGTCATATTCTTTTCCCAAACTGACGCACATGAATCAAAAAACATTAGGCGATCAATATTTTGATTTATTCAAAGCGAAATACGGTACTGCTTCGTAGAAAGCATCAGAACAATCAAGTGTTAACCACAGTCGGATCAAGAAGCCTAGTATTATGGGCACCACAAAAATCGTATAGTTTGTTAGGAGGCTGGGATATTTCTCGGACACCCTCATACCGAAGCAGATGGTTGTCTTGAAGAGTTAACCCGCCGTCGCCACCACCACCCATTTCCCCGCGAGACTTTCACCTGACGTCTGATCTACAAGACAGTCTGACAACGCCAAAAGCTACGTTCCCATTGTTTCCGGTAACCAAAACAGGCTCATACGCCATCCGATTCTTTCGCATTCTGCAACCCGTGTACATCATATGAGGTTTGTGATCACGGTTTTGCAGTCCCTCTAGGTAGACAGAACGTCATGTCCACCAGATCGGTTGGGATTCACCCTTTCTCTTATTTGTGAGGAACACCCTTGCCACGTTAAGTCAGTGAATAGAACTAACCACCCAGCAGAGGCTGTGGATGCGTGGTCACCTACACTTGGACCTACCTGGCCGTTTATGGGGGCGATATTAGGTACAGCAAATTAAATTACAGACCAAACGTATTTAATACTTACTGAACGGTTATCAGTCATTAAAACATGAAGATATGTCGATTATGGTTGTCATCTTGTAGTCACCTGTGTTTCAACTACATCTCAGCCTGGACTCTGTGTTGTCAGTCAGTATTGATAGTGAAAACTAAGACGTTCAGCCAGGTATAATCCTACACAGCACATTACTCCAGAAAAAGCCACAGGACACGCCAACTAGAGCACTGAGAAAGCTTGACGTCTTCTATTTGGGTTTGTAACTATGTCAGGGATTTCGCTTATAAGTCTTCTGTGTCTGTTGTTTCGTGCATGATCAGGATCTCTGTACAATGGTCCGTCGGAGATAACTGGAACTTTAATGATGTTGTAATCTGATTTAACCATGTGACTCTTGCTCATTTAAGGAAAACATTAAGAAAATACGAAAGACTAGAATGGGTGCTAGCATCAGTTCATATCTGTGCAGTCCATGGGATTATCTTATCGGGTAGACACTCAACGACTATGTACTGGTCATTTTTCTCATGAAATCTTTGATGAACATGATGAACAAACATACCACTTTAGAATACAACGCGCGCACACATTAACCAACCACTTGACGACTTAGTGGTTAGTTCAGTGTGTCAGCCTACTTCTCATTTCATTCTCTGATGGATAAGAGTTCTTATCAGAGTTGATCATTTTCGCTGTAATTAGCTTAGGTAGGAAGGAGACTGAGAGTTAATGGCACAGATAAGTCAATGTTCGTGTTAGTAGACAATAGGTGTAAGGTACTTGCTTACATTTTCATCACGCCATTACTATTATTATTGTTATTGTGGTAGTGTTATTTTTCAATGAAGACAGTAGGGATATCTCAGAAGCGAAATACTCGACAGACGCGAAGTCTTGTCGGAAAGGGGAAAGTCTCATGACTGCATTTTCTGCAGATTCGTGCTCTTGTAACGCTATCTGTCTTTAATTAAGACTGACTTGCAATAGATTACTAACTGTCACAAATTAATTATCACGGCTACACGGAGGTGCTTTTCAGTCACTCTTGATGTCATGAAAACCACTGGCTGACATCATCCTCTTGAGTTATGAATCACCTTCCTTCTCTGTTTACTGCTCCATATCTATGCTTGTTCATCTTTCTTCTTCTTCTTCTTCTTCCTAATAGAGAGGGAATAAGCAGTAGTATCAAATGGATGGTTGACAAGGTGAAAGCTAATGCGGAACACAGACCACCCAAACAACTGGAGATGGCATGATGTTTCAATTCTTCTGTACAACAAACAGCAACAACTACTACTTGGTCTTTCTGAAATTTGCAAAGGCTGAAATTGTCTTTTATGTATTTATTTCACACAATTTGTAACGATTCTTACAATGAATAAATAAATCATAAATGCATGAACTTCTGTATAACAAAAAATAGAACTCTGATTGTTATCTGGACACTTTTCTTTGGCTGTTCATTAGGCCGCGTCATTCTTAACATCTAGAGTCTTTCTTTCGGTGTATTATCGAGTGATATCGTCGTGAAAGAAAAATATATGTTTATATTAGACATTTTAAAAGTTAGGAAGGAAGGAATTCTGCGGACTTCTGCGTACTCAAAGAGACATATGCATATATATATATATTTATATATTATTATATCCTTTAATTCCTAGAGGAACAGGGCTTCAGCTGTGCGTCTCCATTGCCTTTGGTTTTCTGCCAACGTTTTCACCCCGCTCCAAGTCTGCCCACATGCTTTCATCTCCTCCTCACATGACCTCCTCCAAGTCACCCCTGCTCTGACGACCGATTCGCCGTTTCCCTTTCGGGTTCCACTCGAGCAATGGCTTGTCTAGTGATGTCACTTGATGGTTTGTTTTTTCAGAGTATGGCCAATCCAATCCATCTCCATTTCTTCCTGCCTATTTCTTGCACAATCGGTTCTTGGTTGGTTCGCTGTACCCATGATGAGTTCCCTTCCTGTGTTGTCTCGTCCCAGTTTGGTGTTCATGTCTCCCATTAGTATTTTAATATCACCAGCTGGAGAATTGTCCATTGCTGCCTGTAGTTGTCTGTAGAATTCTTTCTTTCCGAGGTCTGCGTTGTTTGTGGGTGCATAACATTGTATAATTGACACTTTCCTTCCTTTGGAGTTGAATCTGGCGGTTATTATTCTGGACGAGATCGCCTCCCATTGCATCAGGTCCTTTGTTTCCGTTGGTGACATCATGATAGCCACGCCTTTGCTGTGCGTGTGGTTATCTTCTGAGTGACCGGAGTAGATTACTGACTCACCCGTTGACAATTTGGTGAGTCCATTTCCGTTCTATCTGCTTTCACATATCCCCAGTACTTGAATTCCGTATCGTTTCATTTCGATTACGATCTGGGCAGCTTTGCCAATCTCGTACATGGTGCGGACATTCCATGTCCCCATGCAGACTTTTTCTTTCGGCGCAAGGAGATTCATCGGACTGAAGTTTCTGTAGCAATTTTGTTTACAGGGTGGGGTTGCTAGCCTCACGCCTGAGATAGGGATTGTTACATTAAGATAAAGTTTAGAGAGAAGTGACCTTGTGGGTTGCTCCCCTTAAAATCGGAAAACAAGGAATAAAACAATCAGAACAACACCAGCAAAAGGAAAATAATTCACAGTAAAAAGGACAACAAGCGACAACAACAATACAATACAACAACATACAATACAGTTAAGTATAGTTAACAAAATGATACCAAAATGATATATATATATATATATATTCCTACAAATGATTGAGTTAAATGCCACATTAGAAACTAATTTGATGACATGATGATATTGCTCTCAGTGTGGAATTTATTTCTCTAGTTGAGACAGATATAAAACACAAGAAAAAGCGTTGCACATTATTGTGTTGTTCCGCTTAGTTGAAATATGCAGAGACATTAGAAGACGTAGTCAATAGACATGAAGAAATCTGAAGAATCAAGGAGACAAATGTATAAGTGTAAGATGAATGGAGGTTTGAGACTTTGACTGAAGACATCTACGCTGATTGGGGTGACGTGAAAGCATTGTATTTAATTTCAAATTTGGCGATAACTGCATTTCAAGCATTCGTGAAACTTGACAAAAATAATTACCTACGGTATGCATAACAGTGGACTTGACTGTGTGGATTCAGAGAAGTCAATGAGGCTGGTGATAAACAGCTATTTTGTTTGTGTATTAGCCAACGTACTATGTAGGTGGTGTATTGGATTGTGAGGCAGTTTCAGTGGATTGGAGTACACAAGCAAACGTTTCAGTTTATAAGAAAGGCGGTAAATCCTTGTCTCGTAAATACTGAGGGTCAGTTTAACTAGCGTGTATGGTGTAAAAGAACCTGTGGTGCATATTGATATGAAGACTCAGTGGAGTTGAGAAAAGATTAACCAGAATATGCAGTCAAATTTTACGCTTTGCATTTGGTGCATTGATCAGACGTTGATGGTTTGACAGACTCTGAGGGACGAAAATACCTCCGATGTCCGACATTGACTGACTATACTCCTTGACGTATGGTTTCGCCCACCGAGAGGTGTCGCAGTGTCTAGTTGTAAAAGAAGTGGTGAGAATGTATGTCATGCTGATCGATGCACAATATCGAGTCCCATTCACCTGTGTCTTGTGGTGTAGTGATAACAATTGGGTGTCCGACAGAGGTGTCAGTGTCACTGATCCCAATTAGTCGTATTGTAGATGTTCTAGTGTGCAGTTGACCCTGTTTAATTCCAACGTCCCATAGATTGACTTACCTACTCACTGCTAGGGAAACAGTTAGACGAAAACCCTGACAACGTGCAGAGTATTGTGTTTGCACTGTGTGAATAGCTTAATATCCCTGACACACTTTACAGTTCGATGAGTATACCTGATTAGTGCAGTTTTAAGACACGGTAAAACTATTGAAGAGTGGAGAAAAGGTATATATCATCATATCATGAAGATTCTCAAGTTTTTCAGCTGCATGACAAATAGTCCATTAGAGTTGTCTGTTTTCCCTTACCACTGATAATAGGAGGTTTAGGAAAAAGGCTTTCTTCCTGTTTGGTGTTTGTTTCTGTGTTGAAGCGAACTTAGTGTGCCTACGTCCTTAGTGGGTTTCCACAAGAAACGATATTATTCTTTTTGACTTGAAGGTGTGTAGGTGTTTTACACGTTATCCAATAAAATCATACACTATTGTTTCTGAAAACTGACCGATGACTGTTAATTTTTGTTGACTACAACAGTGTTAGTAAGGACATGGTGTGTATGAAGGAAATTTGTGTTTATGCGCTTATGTGATGGGAGTGTTTCACATTGGAAATTTGTCAGTTATGTATGGTACGGCTGTTTAGTCATCTATCATTTGTCGTATTTCCTGATCATTAGGCCTGTCACTGAATAATGAATGACGAGGTGACTGACTGCAAGAATAGGAGCAAGAAACGGAAGCTACAGCAGAGTTTTGAGCCAGTGAATTCAGCTGTTTATAAACGTATGCAGTCTGTATGGGATATTTTCCGTCACGTGTCGTTATGCCTGTGAACCGTATAGAAGCACTGATTTTTCATTTGCTTTGAACCTCCGAATCTTTTGCTCCAGCTGATTGCAATATAATCGATTTCAGATTCAGATTTATCGGTTGAGGATAGAAGGCTTGGAGCCTATGTTAATCCTTTTCTAGTAGATTTCTGTGGTTGTCCAAACCCTTCTTGAACGAATCATTTGAGGTTGCAGACACCACTTCTTCTAGAAGTCGGTTCCAAGTGTTTATGACTCGATGTGAGAACCAGTACTAAACAGTAATACGATTTCTTCTTGGCTTTTGAACTCTCCTGCTATGTCCTCTAAGGTGTTCCGACCTGGTGGGAAGGAAAAAAGAGAATAGATCAGGTCCGTAGTCATTATTTAGAATTTTAAACATTGTGATTAAATCTTCTCTCTGCCTACGGTATGACAGGGAGAAGAGATTTAAACTGCCTAGTCCGTCCTCGTATGATAAGTTAGCTCTGCCGTGAACCATACTTGTTGCCTTCCTTTGAACACTTTCTAGAGCGTATGAGTCCCCTTTTAGACAAGGACTGGCGGCCTGGATGCAGTTTTCCAGTCTTGATCTCACCAGAGATGTATATAAGGAGGTGAACATACCTCTGGTGATTCTAGTAAATGCTCTGCGAATTGCCCGTAAGGACCTGAAACTACGTGCAGCCACCGCGCGACAGTGTGCTGCAGTTTTGAAGTCTTGGCTAACTATAACACCTAAGTCCAAGTGAGTCTGAACTGACCAAAGTGTTATTCCCTCTAGTTCGTAGGAGATCGTGCTTGCTTGTCCGATGCGCATGGTTGCACATTTTGCTACATTAATCGGGACCATCCATTCTATGGACCACTCTGACAATTTGTTGAGGTCCTCTTGCAACGTGAACGTATCACTGTTGCCCTTCAGTTCTCTCCAAATTTTCAAGTCATCTGCGTATAAGACCATAGGGGAGTCGGTGAGCAGAAATAACTCATTGATGTAAAAAATAAATAAGAGAGGTCCGAGTACCGTGCCTTGTGGCACTCCGCTACGTACTGCTGTCCAGGAGGAGAGTTTCGAGTTTATCCTTACCCTCTGCCTCCTATCTATGAGGAATTCCCTGAGCCAGTCTAGTAGTCTGCCTTTGATACCAAGACTTTCCAATTTCATGAGTAGTCTTTTGTGAGGTACTTTATCAAAGGCTTTACTGAAGTCTATGAAGACGACGTCAACGGGTCTTCTGTTGTCCTTTGATTTGACCCAGCCTTCTCTTGCAGTGAGGAGATTTGACAGGCATGAGAGGTTCCTCTGGAAGCCATGCTGTGCTCCAGATAACAAGCTGCTGTTTTCCAGATAAGCCATGATGCTTTTCTTGATAATTCTTTCCAGTGTCTTGATTAAAGTGCTGGTGAGACTGATAGGCCTTTAATTTGAAGGGCTTTGTCTTGATCCTCCTTTGTGGATGGGGGTTACTATGGCGTCTTTCCAATCACGCCCTAGCACTCCATTTAGTAGAGATAGCTTGAAGATCGTGGTCAAGGGGCCGGTTATTTGGGCTGATAGCTCCTTGAGAAGCCTTGGATGAAGATTATCAGGACCCATTGATTTCCCTGCACCTAGTTTCATTAAACAGTTGAGCACGATGCCTTGGTCGATGTCAACGGAATCTATCCCATGTTCTTCTGATGCAGCCAGAGCTGATTCTGTAGGCAGTGATGACTCCTGAGTGAAGACTTGGGAGAAGTAGTTTGCCATTGCTTCTGCTTTTTCTTGATCTTCTTCGATTGTATCTTTGTCAATAATCAGGTTTGGGACACCATTGGATGTTTTATTCCTGAAATTCAAGTACGAGAAAATTTTCTTAGGTTGTGCCTTTGCATTTTGAGCCAGGTGCGCCTCGAACTTCAT